GTTGGAGAGTCTGCAATATAAACAGCCAGTCCAGATGTCATCGTAAATCAGAAGTCAACCAGATTCCATTAATAGTGATATTTCACATCAAAGATTTGACTGAGAACATACCTGACATTCCAAGTCGTAGTAAGTGTTTATATTGGCAGATTTCTTTGTCCTTAGATTTATATTCAGAATTCTCAATAAATTATTAAGCAATTTTTAAACTAGGATTCAAAATATTTTTGAGACACAGTCTCTCTCTGTTGCCCAGGCTGCAGTGCAGTGGCATGATCTCGGCTCACTGAAATCTCTGCCTTCTGGGTTCAAGTGATCTGCCTGCCTCAGCCTCCTGTATAGCTGGGATTACAGGTGTGCACCACCATACCTGGCTAATTTTTGTATTTTTAGCAGAAACTGGTTTTCACCGTGTTGGCCAGGCTGGTCCCAAACTCCTGACCTCAAGTGATCAGCCCGCCTTGGCCTCCCGAAGTGCTGGGATGACAGGCGTGAGCCACTGCGCCCATCCAGGTTCTAAAATATCTTTCAAAGGCCTGCAATTCCTCCATTTTATTTTAATAATTAATTAATTATGATTATTATTATTAAATAGAGATGTGGTCTCACTATGTTGCCCAGGCTGGTCTGAAATTCCTGAGCTCAAGTGATCCTCTGCCCTTGGCCTCCCAAAGTGTTAGGATTATATGTGTGACTACCACACCTGGCCAGTTCCCCATTTTCATGCCACCATACCCAACCTCCAATGCCACATCACTGCTCACTAACTTGAGGTATATAATAATATGAGTGAAGGAAAATTGTAATAAAATTATGTCATTATTTTAAAAGATTATTCCTCAAATAAATATCTCAACTTAATTTCTAACCTTCATAAAACATATTGTATGTGAATTCTTAAAAAATCATCATTATAGGAAAAGGAAAATGTTTGATACCATTTTAGCATTGTTTAGAAAGTAATTCTACCAGCATTTATGCATATTTCACATATAGGGGAATTATGCAGCCACTTCTCTTCAAGACTACAACATCATGGAAGTGGAAAGAGAAAAACATATATTTAAGAAATGTGTATATCTAGCTTATTTCCTTATTCAAAGTTTTTAGCACCTCCATATTTCAAAATGCCTATGCATTCAGCTTTAGATTCTGAGTCTATTACTAAATTCCACTATTTCAATCAGAAATCTTCAAACCAGCTTATTTAATTCACTCAAGGAGTGCTGAATAAACTGGACTTCATCAAAATTAAGAATTTCTGCTTTGCAAAAGATATTGTCAAGAGAGTAAAAAGACAAGCCACAAACAAGGAGAAAATTTTTGCAAAAGACATATCTGATAAAAGACTGTTATCAAAAAAATACAAAAACACTTAAAACTCAACATTTGGAAAACAACCTGATTAAAAAATGGGCCAAAGGCCTTTACCTCCCCAAAGAAGATAACCAGATGGTAAATAAATAGCCATATGAAAAGATCCTCCACATCATATGTCATCAGGGAAATGCAAATTAAAACAACAATGAAATACCACACACATCTATTAGAATGGCCCAAATCCAGAACACTTACAACACCAAATGCTGGCAAGGATTTGGAGCAACGGGAACTCTTATTCATTCCTGGTGGGAATGCAAAATGGTAGCCACTTTGGAAGACAATTTGGCAATTGCTTACAAAACTAAACATTCTCTTACCTTATGATCCAGCAATCATACTACTTGGTATTTATCCAAAGGAGATGAAAACCTATGTCCGCACAAAAAAACCTGCACACAGATATTTATAACAGCTTTTTCCATCACACTGGGCTGAGGGATGTTGATAATGGGGAAGGGCTATGCTTGTGTGGGGTCAGAAAGTATATGGAAAATCTCTGGACATTCCTTTCCATTTTGCTGTGAAGCTAAAACTGCTCTCAAAAAAGGTTTAAATAATTTTTAAAGCAGTACCGTATTGTCATGTTTAACTCACTTACTTATTACAAGAAAACTATTCAACTAGTAAAAACGTTATATATAAGAAGTTTCTGTTTGTTAAAAAAATTGTTTCAAATATATTTAGACTTTGACTTTTAAAAGTATACAGCAACATTCAAGATAGCTAGACAGAATGCACTGCACCTTGGCAGGTTTTTAAATCCTTGGACTTACTGGCCTAAGGAAAGATGTGTAAACATCCATGATTCAGAACTACAGGGAGAAATTGGGGCAGCCAGAACCTCATCCTCTTGCCCTAAAGGGAAAAGATATCTTGCTTGCGGTATCTAAGATTTGAATCTTAGAGAATATTCATGCATGGCTAGGAATTGGAATAATGGGGAAGTCTTATTTCATGGGGAATTTTCTAATGAAGTTCCACCTCCATTTGCAGTCATTCTTTAACAATTTAGCGAAAAATACTACTAGTTGGGGAGAAACCAAATAGGTATGTGTAAATGTGGTGTTTCTCAGAGTGTGGACTTTAACCACCTTTAATTACATACATTTACGAGGATCTGTTGAAAATGCAGGTTCCTGGGCTTCACCCCAGTTGCTCTGAAATGAAAACTGTAGGAGTCGGTTGGCGAAACTACATTTTGTTTCTCAGGTGATTCTTGTGTATTCTAACTCATATATAGGGTGATGTTATTTATTTAGTGGTTATTTATTTACCGGTTATTTATCGTTTGGCAAAAAAATCCAGCAAAGACCCGCAAGTGACCTTTACACTTGACATAGGATTCCTTTCCGCGGCTGACTCTTTTTTTTTTTT